CCCCCCCACCCCCCCCAGCCAGCTCCCTGCTCCTGACCTCGCGCCCCCCGGCAGCCCTGCTTCCACCAGTCCCCCAATCTCCCCAGCCTGCCCTGATTCCCCCATCCAGTGCTGCTTCCGGTGGCCAACTCTCCCCTCCTCCTCACCCCAGAATCCCCTGGCACCTGCACCTTTCCTTAGCCCTGCACCCCCCAGGTGCCTCCCTTTTCCCTCTTTTTCCCTAATACCGACACCCTCACCAGTCTCTGCCCCATTCCCCTCCTGCCCCTCTGTGCCCTCACACATGATTTGCTCCATCCTGACCTTCCTTATGCCCACCCCTTCTTTCAAGCCTTCTCCCAGCACCTCCCCCTCCAGCCCCCGGTGGCCTTCCCCTCTCCTCTCCTCTCCTCTCCTCTCCTCTCCTCTCCTCTCCTAGCATCACTTGTCCCCCCTTCCACTGACACCTCCCCTCCTGCCCTTTCCCTCATTGTCTGCACTTCGCCCCCTGGCATTTGTCTCTCTCTCCTGCACCTCTGTCCTTTGGTGCCTTTCACTCCCCCAAGCACCCACCCAAGCATCTTCTCCTTCTACCTCTTCCCCCCCCCCTCCCTTTCCCTCTCCCTCTCCTCGCCTCCGCCGCCGCATGAGCCGGTTCCCTGTCTTCTTCTTCCACGTTGCGGGGCCAGAGTCCACACTCAGGCCCCGGAGGCCGAACCCAGAGCCATCCAGGCCCCGCAACGTGCCTCCCGCAGGTTTCAAAACCCCAGGCCGTGACGTCACGTCATGCCCGGGCATCCTCCCCGCCCACGTGCAACGCCGCGCATGGGTGGCAGGCGGCGAGGAGGAGCTGCGTGCAGCAGGAACGTCCAGGGCTGAGGGGAATGCTCTGGGGGCGGGGTGGGAGGACGTGCGGGAGAGTTGGCAGGGGGGGCGGGCATCCAGGGCCCGCTCCAGGCAGAGCCGGGGAGAGACCCAGCTCCACATAGTGGTGGAGCAGGACCCTGGCTTTTAACTCGCCGGCACTTCCGGGTGCAGGGGCGTGGGCCCCGATTCAACCGAATGGGTCGAATCGGCCTAAGGGCCGGCAGCCACCAGGCACGCAGAGGCCAGGCATATTTTTTCTGCGGCGCAGACCATAGTTTAGGAAACGCTGCGCTAAGGGGTCAGATCAAAGCCCTAGGTGGGCCAGATTCAGCCCACAGTGTGGCTTTGCCCACCCCTGGTCTAGACAGCACCCTTCTGTCAGAATAAACTACGCAATTTGCATTATGCAAATTGCACAGCTTATTCGGAGTCTAAGTCAAAAGAGCCTATTTTTAAAATTTGGCACTATTCTGACAAATTCCTTAACCCTCATAGAATGAGGGTTACAGGGACGCTGGAATAGCACACCAGTCTAGACATACCCTAAGGTTTTACAGCAGATTGGGTTTTAGCGGGTTCAGGCTCTAGAGAGGAAAATAATTTGATCCCAGGAGAGTAACTTCATTCCCACACTATCATTGCCCCTAATGACTATATTAAAAATGAATTTTATTGGTGCAAATGAACACACTTTATTCCAAACAGGGATCATCGTGCTGAAACAAGTACATAGCATATCAATTATATATATATAGTAGCCCAATGTCTGTGAGTCTGTAACGCTGAAATGCTGGCTGTTCCCTCTGGGCAGAGTTATTGCCTGACGTGCTGGCTGTTCCCTCTGGGCGGCACTGTTGCCTGAAATGCTGGCTGTTCCCTATGGGGGGCGCTGTTGCCTGAAATGCTGGCTATTCCCTCTGGGGGGTGCTGTTGCCTGAAATGCTGGCTGTTCCCTCTGGGCAGCCCATGCTGTATGGGGAGTGTGGGGCCAAAGCGGCCAAGCTGAGCGGCGCAGAAGTCAGCCGAGCGTCACGGCGGGAGGCGAAAGGAGGTGGGGCAGTGACGTGTGGTGTGACAGCAGCTCCAGGCACCGCCCTCTAGCCGTGAAAATCACCACACTGCCCCCCTTTGCCTCCCACCGTGGTGCTCGGCTGACTTCTGCACCGCTCATTCAGGCTGCCGCGTGGGAGCAAGTGGCGAAAGCGACAGTTTGAGCTCCACGCTCCCCATGCAGCACGGGGAGTGTGGAGCCCAAACACTTGTTTGGGCTCCACGGTCCCCCAGGTGAGAGGCAAGCGGGGGAGGAGAAGAGAGAGAGAGAGGCAGGAGACGGAGGAGAGCTGAGAGAGAGAGAGGGGGAGGCAATAGGAGAAGGAGAGAGAGAGAGATGGAGTGAGAGACAGGAGGCTCAGAAGAGAAGACCGACGTAGAGGAGACCTCTGAAAATCCCGTCTTATGACGGGCTAATTGGCTAGTTAACATAAGAATAAGCACTGGAAAATGCAGGATTAAAATATGCAAGTTTTGTTTTGTCAATGTGTTTAAAAATACTCACAATCTTCTTTGTATTATTTAGTTACAAGTGTAATGCAAGTTAAGCAACTTAAAGACAAGAGATTACACAAACATTTTTGAAGCTGTTACCATTAAGTGATACAAATCAAAAAGCTAAAGGAATAATTTTGAAACTACCAGATTAAATTAAATTGTTCATGATACCTAAAACACTTCTGAAAATATTTTCAAATAGCATAACTTAATAGAAAATGTGG